ATCAAATTTCAGCTAAAAATTAAATCGGGAAGGCAGTCAAATGATTTTCCTAAATGTACCGCGTTGTGTAACTGCGCAGTTATCTTCAAAAAATCATTTGACTGCCTTCCCGGTTGAATTTTTAGCTAAAGTTTGGTATGAGCAAACTAGACTTAATGAAGAAAATTCTCAAAAAAAAATCATCAAAAAATTATACCGGGAACCGCCTCAATTGACGACGGTCGGGCAGAACCTCCTATATAAGGGGTTAATTGAACACTTTAAGTTAGTTCATGTACCTATTTGACCCTTTAGCCATATTATTATACTACTATACTCCATTAGAAAATGAAGCATGCTCGTAATAAATTACTACGGGAGTGTTTGCAACTGCTTCTGCTTAAAAAAAGCACTTTTGGAGATGTAAGGAAAAAGTGATTAGTAGTAAAAGTTGATAGTGTTTGAGAAAAAAGTGATTTTGAAAAGTAAAAGTTGGTAGTGTTTGGTAAAATAAGTGCTTTTTGTGTAATAGAAAAGGAAAAGCACTTTTCACACGCAAGCCGAGAAAAAGTAAAAATTGGTAGTGTTTGGTAAATAAGTGCTTTTTAAAGCCAAAAGCTGAGAAGTGCTTTTTTTAAGCAGTTGCAAACACTAAGTAAATTGTAAAGTTAGATCAGTAACGGTCAAACGGGTTTAATCAGATTTGATGAAATTTTAGCTGAATTTATTGAATTGAATATGGTCAATAATGAAAAAACTATAAGGAGTACTTTAAATAAAATACTCCCTCCTGTTCACAAAGATCTTTACACTTTGACTTAACAGTTTTTAAGGAAATAAATTTTATTTTACTGTAGAGTAAACTGTTTGGCACTGTTTAGCACTGTTTTGTGTAGATTTATTTGCCAAATAACAAATAAGGAAGTGTAAAGTTTAATACGGGACGATCCAAAAAGAAAAGTGTAAAGATTAATGTGAACCAGAGGGAGTTATTTTAGTCCGAGAATAATTTCAATCTTACTTATTTTTAATTACTAGACAATTCAGTGTATAATAAAAAAATAAACTCCCAAAGATATTCATAGTTTAGAAGACCCTTAGTAAAAGTAAATCATGTACATCATTTACTGGTAAGTAAAAAAGGCAGTAATAGTTTAAAAAACAAATAATGTTAATTTTGTGGATAACTTATAATAATTTCATTAAATCGATACTTATTAGATTACTAGAAGTTACAATTTACAAATTAAAGTAAATTAAGAAGTCTGCAATACATTAACATGCCATTTAGAGATAGGAAGTGTCCATTATTAATGTGTAAATAAATATATACAGAGTAATTGTAAATTGTCATGTTTCGTAAATGTAATGAGATCTGGGATATGAGTTAATGACATTTAAAAAGGGATTTGGAAATTTGCAATGATTGGTTAACTTTAAAAAAAAAATCAATTGTAATCGGCAAGGATGGATTCAAGATAACCTGCTTGTTTGTCTAGAGAGAGATACCAGATCTGCCCATCTTCAGAGGTTTTAAAGTTCGTTTCTGGGCAGCTTTTGCTGAAGTTGTCGTCAAATGAAGCAGAAGTCTGGGCCAGGCATGCTGATGATAGAACAGCCATCAGAGAAGCAGTGAAGAGGAGGTCAGCCGCCATTGATGAAGATGGCTTTCTCTCCATCCCCATTTTAGACCAATGGATTCGAACTCTTGGGAGAAACAGAGAAGCTAGCTAGCTAGCTGGAGGTGAGAGTTACGTTCTGAAATGTAAGGGAAGATCTGAGCATTTTTCTTTCTAATAAATGGGTGGAATTAAGAATTTGGTTTAAATCTTTCCAAGGTATGGTCCCCAAATGAGAAAAGGATCGATTCAGTACACATAAAGAGTACACCATCATGCAAACCGGTTTCAATGGTACATGAACTAAGGAAACAAAAGTTAATTTAGTACACCGGCCCATTTAATCTGCTAAACTGTCGAGGTGGCCAACGGTTTACTGATGTGGCATACTTAAACACTTCCTGTCATCAAAGCGGTAGTTAAGACCATTCAAACCCTACCCCGTTGTATTCTTATGCGACATTGAAAGGAAGAACACACCGTTGAAGACCAAAATCGAACCTGAAACCTAAATTCCTGACCTTCATTTGAAGATGGAGATTGACTCAACGCAACAAAGGTATGGTAATGTGTTTCTTAAGCATTATTTATTTACCATTATATAGGATGAATGCATCCATACAATAATCTGCAAACCATACTTTTACATGAATATTGTTATACTTGAATGCATTCTTGAAGTATATTTAGGGTTGTAAATCGCTTAAACATCACATTATAAAAAATTGTTATACTTGAATGCATTGTAATGGTTGTCATTATTGTTGCATCATTTATAAAAATTTGTGTATGTTGTATACTTGAATTTGTTCCATTGGTTGGTTGTACTTGGGAAGCTTTTAATTGGGTTGAATATGGTTGGTAACATATACTTATTATGCTAGCAGACAAACAATGGAGGGGCCTACAGGTCATGTCCCCTTTGTTGTGGATTTGGGCTTCAAAGATGTTGTTGCTGAGGCAGAAGCAGGCCTCTTATTTGAAGAGGAGTTTAACTCTGAAAATGAAGATGATGAGGAGCTACTTCATGGCTGGAGTTTGCTAAGAAAGTTGGTCACAAATTCTAAGAGTCTTCCTAAAAGTAAAGGCCCAAATATTGATGACCAAGGCACAGTTGAAGAAAAGGAGACCTGGGAGGAAGATGGTAATGAAACTGAATACTTCAGTTCTAGTGAAGAAGGAAGCTACAAATCAGGTTCTGATCATGAAGAAGAAGACAGTGTGAGAGTCAAATCCAGATTTCCAAGCTTCAATCCAGATGATAAGGTTGACTTTAATTTGGGAATGAGCTTTCAGTCCAAAAGTTAAGTCAAAGATGCCATGGATAAGTTGTAATACCCGAGATTAATTTAAGAGGATTAATAGTGCTACTCATACCAACAGAGGTGCATCTCCTTTTAAGGGAGCTCATCACTCAAGAACTCCAAAGTTAAGCGTGCTCGCACCGTCGCACGGGAATAGTATTGGGATGGGTGACCCCCTGGGAAGTTTCTCGGGGCGCGCATGAGTGAGGACAAAGTGCGCGATAAAGGCTCGTGGTGGTTTGTGAGGACAGTACTATTGGTCCGGAGTAACTACCTCGGGTCCGGTGGGGCCGGGGTGTTACATAAGTACTCTGTCACCAATAGGTATCCCTATTATTGGGCTAAAAAACTGTGCCAATATGTTTAGGGCTAAATGTTCTAATTTGGACAAGTGTTGTGCATGGATGGTTTACATTGCCATAGACAACAGATCTAGCAGTAGGAAGTGGGTGGTGAAGACTTATAACAGTAAGCATTCCTGTAACCCAGGGTGGCAGCTACCCAGTCTTACAGCAAAGTGGTTAGTGAAGAATTTTTTCAATACAAAGCCAGGAGTATCTGAAATGAAGGTAGGTGCAATGAAAGAAATGATGAAGAGAGAACTGAACTGTGAAGTCTCCTTGGAGCAGATGAAGAAAGCAAAATCAATGCTCAGGAAGTTGGAAAAGGGAGACATAGAGTCAGAGTACAAGGATTTGGAGGATTATAAGGCTGAAATAATGAGGTCTAATGCAAGGAATACATGCATTTTACAAATGAAGCAGCCTAATCCAATATTTGACAGGTTCTATGTATGTTTTGATGCCTGCAAAAGGGGATTTCTGGAGGGATGTAGGAGACTAATAGGAATTGATGGTGCCTTTTTGAAGACAGAAGTAAAGGGAGAAATTCTAACAGCTGTGGCAAGGGATGCAAATAATCAGATGTTCCCAATAGCATGGGCAATTGTTGGTTCTGAAAGTAAAGCCACATGGAAGTGGTTTCTTGAAAATCTTAGAGATGATTTAAACATTGGAAGAGGAAATGGATGGACTTTTGTTTCTGACCAACAAAAGGTCAATTTTCTACTTTCATTTCTATACTTTGACATCTGTTTTACTTCTTAAACTCCAGTTGTCATTTGTGTTGTTGAAGTTCTGTTCTTGAATTGACTTTGAACTTTTAACTTCAGTTGTAAGATCTCTTAATCAATTTCACTTATTAAATGAACATGACTTTTCTTGTTCAGTACTTTATTAACTTCTGTACTATAAAAATTATTAACTTATAGTTATGAATTTCATTTACTATACTTGTTCACTTTAAATTATTAAATATAAGGTGTAAGCTGTGTCATTTTACTTCATTTGTTAGTTCAGTTCATTAAGGGAAGTTTTTATTTTTTCCAGGGATTGATGCCTGCTTTGTATGACACATTTCCAGAAGTTGAGCATAGGAGATGTGCCAGACACATTTATGCAATATGGAGAAGAGCACACCCTGGAATTGAATTACAAAGAGCTTTCTGGAAGTGCTGCAAGTCTGCATCAAAGAGGGAGTTTGAACTGAACCTAGAGGGGTTGAAATCTCTTTCTCCAAGTGGCCATGAAGATATTCTAAACATAGATCCTAAGTTCTGGTGCAGAGCTTTTTTTAATAGGAATATTAAGTGTGAAACCGTTGACAATAATCTATGTGAAGCCTTTAATGGAGTCATTGTTCCTGCTAGATCTCAGTTAGGTTATTCCCAGTTGGAGTATATTAGGAAGTTGGTCATGCAAAGGCTTACCAAGAATAGGGATTTAGGAGACAAGTGGATTGGTCAATTAGGACCTAGAATTAGGAGGAGAATTAACAAAACAATAAGAGCAAGTAACTATTGGAGGGTGCAATTCAATGGAGCTAATGGATATGAAGTGTCATGTGGGTCTGACACTTACCTTGTAGACTTGGACAATATGAGTTGTTTGTGTGAGCAGTGGGATGTGTCTAGGATACCCTGTAAGCATGCCATTTGTGCCATTAGGAATAGAGGGCATCCTATTGAGGATTATGTGTCCCTCTAGTACCGGAAGGACATGTATAGGCAAACCTATTCTCACATGATGACCCCAATTGCTGGTCCTTTGTTCTGGCCAAAGACTGACCTCAAAGTATTACCTCCTGAGTTGAAAACAAAAGAGTTAGGGAGGCCTAGGAAATCGAATGAAAGAAATAGGTGAGTATCCTAGAAGTGGGAAGTTGCCCAAGAGGGGTACGACCATTACTTGTCATTTGTGTTTCAAGAAGGGACACAACAAAAAAGGGTGTCCCCACAAAGAGGAGATTTTGCAAGGAAATACAACCTTCCCTTCTGATATGCAAGCACAGACTTCTGACCTAGGACCTATCCCTTCTGATGTCCAAGCCGGAAGTTCTAACCCACCTAAAAAGACATGTGGAATCTGCTCCCAACTAGGTCACACTAAGAACGGGTGTCCTCAGAAGAAAACCTCAAATCAGGTATTCATAAACTTGATTCAAATGCAATTTGTGTATGAATTTATGTGTGAAGTGCTTCACAGTGTGACAAGGGTATTTTTTGTTGTCTAGAGACTAACAATGACAATCCAACTCCAACTCCATCACAACCAGATGTAGGTTCTCATACACTTCAAGCATACTTCTCAGAGAATCAAGCAACAAATGACACAACAAGTGATGGTGTATTTCAGTTTAGGGGCCAGAGATCCATAGGTGCTGCAGGTTCGGAGGTAATATAGAACAACATTGTATATGGTTTGAACTGTGTATTCACATCTCCAACTTTGAATGCCATTTTGTCATACATTTTTATATCAGTTTCAGTGGTGTGATGGTATGCATAAATGGTTTAGGTCTAATTTTGATTACCATTTGTATTTGTACAGAGACTAAGAGCAAGGAATGCAAAGAACATCAATGCCAAAGCTCAAAAATTAAAGAAAAGGAATGTTGAACCCTTGGAAGTTACTGGTGATGCCACAACTGCAAGAAAGAGGTTCCATGAGTTATTTGATTCCATGGAAGACAGTGGTGGGAACTAGAGAGGCACCTTTTTAGAAAATCTATGTAATTGTTGAAACTCTGTTATGTTTTTGGGAAGATCCGTGTACCTATTTTGCATATACGTTGGTGGTATGTAGGATCATAAGTTTTATTGTTTTGTAAATGGCATATATATGCTGACCTAGCCATTATTTTGGGCATGTGAATGTACAATTGGTAGCATAGAGCTACAGTTTTGGTTCCATGTTGCTGGTGTGTCTGTGCCAGCATGATTTTTGCAACCAATATGATGCAGGAAATGAATTATGTATGCATATTTCACTTTATGTTATGACTTGTTCTTTTTGATTGGAAGTTAAGTGTTTTAGGTAGCATGTATGCTTGGACCTGTATCGGTCATTTAATGTATCAGTCAAGAATGAATAGAAGTTTCAAATGAGTTTAAATTGTTAACATTTTGTGCTTACAGAACTTTCATTGAACTGTGGGTCATGTTTTCAGGTCATGTATCAGTCAAGAATGAGTAGAAGCTTCAAATGACCTCAAATTCTATAAGTTTTGGTTCTTACAGAACTTTCATTGAACTTTGGCTCATGTTTTCAGGTCATATATCAGTCATGTTTACCCTGTACCCTATTTTGCACTTCAAAATGGTTTCATGAATAGGGTAAAATATCAGGCCAAAGTATTATGCACTTCACATATATCTGGAATGCTCAAATATCAGGCCAATTGGGTAGATATATGCACAAACTGAATAACGAACTGAATAAAAAGATTAAACATTTCATTCAAATAAACTGATTGTTCACTACTGTCAGAAGAAGTCATCACACTATAATACTACAAACTGATACCACATAGCTAACAAACTGATACCACAAAGATAAGAAACTTATACACCAAGCTTAACAAACTGATGCATGACTTCCTAAACCAGCAACCTAAATGATACCACATTACATAATGATACATGACTTTCTAAAACTGATACATAGTTTCCAGTTTGAATTAATCTGTTTTAGCCTCACACATCTTCCAATCTACCTTCTTGCTTCTACTGTCATTCCAAACAACCCAAATGACCATCAACACCAATCCTGCAACAATGCACCACACCACACTCCAAACCCTCTGTTTTCTTGACAGTCCTTTTTCCTTTGCCTTTTCCTCAACAAGCTCAAATTCCAATTTGTTTATTTTCCTCAATAAACCCGGAATAATCATCTTGGACCTGTAACACATTTCTTCATCAAGCCATCCGAACATGTTGCAACAGGACCCTGCACCCTATTTGCAATAATAGAATTAAGTCAAGAACAATCAAGATTAACACAAAATTAATACAAAAATAAATGAATGCCCTTACTCTTGAGCAAGCAATGAACCGTCTCCCTGGATTGTCATTTGTCCATGAAGTCATTGTCCTTGCTGGAATTCCACAGTAGCAATTTCCATAAGACATTTCGTTGTTCCCAACCTGAATGAGAAATGAAATCAAATTGGTTACTTCGACACCACCGTTTACCACTCCAACACAATACGGCGGAAGACACAAAAGAAGCGAACCGCCGGAGGAGAAAAGCCTATATGCCGGATGAGACAGAAGAAGATAAGCGCCAGAGGAGACAGATTGAAAATTTGGTTCATCTATCCTAGGGTTCGAAATATAAGAAGAAGGAAGGTCTGAGTTGGAGCTGGAGGCCACCCTGTACCACATACACGCTGTCAATTTTTTGCCAAATCAGTAAACTGTTGGCCACCTGGGCAGTTTAGCAAATTAAATGGGCCGGTGTACTAAATTAACTCCCGTTTCGTTAGTTCATGTACCATTGAAACCGGTTTGCATGATGGTGTACTCTTTATGCCACCGGCCCCGACTTCGTGTACTGAATCGACCCTTTTCTTGTCCCCAAATTAATCAATATGTGATTGACACTACTACGTCCGTAACTTAAAAATTTTCCCATTTCAAAAGTCGGTAGATTAAGAATAGTGAAAGAGGATATGAATTGTTGAGGATATGATGGGAAGATAGATGAATAATGTGATGAAATGTAGGCAGGGCCGGCTCTAGCGGTTTGGAGGCCCGAGGCGAAAAACGTTTACTACCACCTCCGTGTCATAATATGTGACCGAGTATGTTTTTTCCATAATTTAAAGTTACAAGTTTTTAGGTACTGTAGTTGACTAGTTGTACTGTTTTCTTTTATTAAAAAGGCTTTTGGGATGATTTTTTCCAAAAATAGAAGTTTGACACATATTTTAATACTAATACAATCCAAAAAATAAAGTGTGCCACTTATTTTGAACCATATCATATTAATGTGATTTATATAACACATACTCATAAAAATAAGATAAAATAGTAGTTCAACATCCGCATTGTCATTTCCAACAATTTTGAGGAAGAAAAATTTGTCTATACAATCGATCAATAGAGTCGGTAAGCAATTTAATAACCACATCTCTTTTCAACTTATTGTTTCTCTTTACATATTAATGAGAAATTTTCTTTACCGCTTTACCAAAATTCCTACATATTTAGCATATTTATAGATAATAATTAAAAAAGGAAAAATAAAGATAATGATTAATAGAAAAACAATAAACAAAAAATAAAAAATTACAATTCCAATTGCAATTATAAAATATTACTCCGTAGTAGCTAACTTTGGCAGTCATTCTTTATACTCGGTATAGTTTCATTTTATGAGTCCCTATTATTATGAGCCGTTTCAATCTCTAAGATTCATTGTTTCTGCTTAAATTATGATTGTAATAATGCATTTTATTTAATCTTTTGAATAATACAAAATTACAAAGTTGTTATAAAATATTCCATTAGCAAAACAATTGTTCGACGGTTCGACCTATTTTAATTACTTCATAATTTAGGGCATAAAATAAAATATTAGAGATTGATAAAAAGAGCTAATAAAATTGATCACCCAAAGAGTTACCAAATGGGCAGACTTATGTTACTTGGTCTATTCATAAATTAATACGAAGTACTTAGTACGGAGTATTTACTTTGGTCATAGATGGACGACATAAAGAGAAATAAAAAATTGTGATTTAGGTTAGATACATATGAATGACGTGATGAAAGATATTTTTGGGATACTTTCAAAATAGTGTGGAGATTATTTGGAGAATAATTTGACGTATTTGCATGTTGAGGTGGTTAATAATGACAAAATGGAAAATTTTTGTATTTGTATATGATCATATGTATCTCAACATTGGACTTGGTACACTTTGTATCGTTTACTTTGATTTTTCAAGTGAAAAGTGTCAAATAGGCCCCCCCTACTAATACGAAAAAGTCAATTAAGCCCCCGAACTCAAAAAACATCCAATTAAGCCCACGAACTAAATATAACGAGGCAAAACAGTCCTTTTAGCACTATACCAGGATATTAACTGTTCCCAGTTAAGTTGCATGTGTGGTAAATGATGTATGTGCATGCTTTTACATTTTCTTTTTCTCTTTTTCTCTTTCTTTCCTTTTTCCTTATCTCTTTTTAACCCCTCATATGCCTTTTAACGTCATTAATCATTACTAGACAAAGTACCCGTGCGATGCACGGGGTATATCTAGAATTGGATAATAAGTTGTTTTAAATTATGTTTTACCATGGTATATTATATGTTACTTTTGACAAAACAAATAGCATTTATACGTTGTAAGTTTTAGTATATACACAGTCCTAGTTGTAGGAAAGTTCAAATCGTATGAAAAAATGGAAAGAAAATTAAAATAAATGATAATGTATAAACATAAGTTGACAAATCGATGAGCAACAGTCATATATGTTGACAATGAAAAAAACAGTTTCACAAATTTCGAAAAACTTCTTTATATACGACATTATTTGTGGTGTTGATAGCGTGACCCTCATCATCACATATAAGAATCTTCAACCCATTCCTTGAGGTAACCCTTGACATCACCACGTACAATTGACCGTGCGTGAAGACAGATTTTGGAAGATATATGCCCACTTGATCCAGAGATTGTCCTTGACTTTTGTTTATCGTCATGGCAAATGAAACAATTATTGGAAATTGCCTGCGCTGAAATTTGAAAGGAATTCTGCTATCCGACGGGACCAATGATAGTCGTGGAATCAAAACCTTTTGACCAATACTTTTTCCAGTTATAACTTTCGCCTCCAAAACAAATTTACCTAACCTAGTAATAATCAGGCGAGTTCCGTTGCATAAGCCAGAGGACTGATCAAGGTTTCTCATTAACATAATAGGAACACCAACCTTTAGTCCCAATTTATGGTTCGGTATCCCTGATGCATTGATGGTGTTTAGAAACTCTTGAGTATGCACTTCATCAGATTCAGCGCTAATGTTACCCTCAAGCGAGCACGGGCTGTCAAAACTCAGATATGTTCTCATTTCTCCAGGCATCAATGAAATCATATAATTATTTATAAGCTCTACAACATCATTTGTGGGTGTCAAAATAGCTCTTTGCTGAAAATATGATGGATCAACCATATTTTCCAGAAATGACGGATAAGTGCTAGCAACAATTGAGGCAATGGGATCACCTGACGTGGTAATAAGCATATCATCAGGTATATCAATGACGACCTCTCCATCTTTGACATTCCCAATATTTCCATCTCCTATTTTGAGCACCAAATCCGAGAATCTTTTCAATTCCTCAACATTACAATGTGAAGAACCACACTGCAGCCTCATGTTTTTTGTTAATGTGAGAACTTGACAGTGTCTCCAAATATATGAGGCATTAATAGTAGCACGAACAACCTCTTGCCTGGATGCCTTTGGTATGACTGGGAGTATTTGCCTGAAATCACCACCAAAAACGACAACTTTCCCTCCAAACGGAAGTTTCAAGCTATCGGGATTGTGAAATCTAAGCAAATCTTTTAGTGTCCTATCTACAGCTTCAAAACAATGTTTATGTGTCATTGGAGCTTCATCCCATATGATAAGCTTTGCTTTGATTATTAGCTCAGCTAGATGACTTCCCTGTTTTATGTTGCAAGTGGAGTCTTCATTGACGTTAATAGGAATGGCAAACCGGGAATGAGCTGTTCGCCCACCAGGAATAAGTAATGATGCTATTGCACTGGATGCCACTGTCAGCACAATTTCACCTTTGGATCTTATGCATGCGGATATCGCCCTCCATATGTATGTTTTACCTGTTCCGCCATATCCATACAGGAAAAACACACCGCCACGATCTTCATTGACACATTGCATGATGGTGTCATATATATTCTTCTGTTCAGAAGTCACGGTTGACAATAGATGCAAGTGTTCTGCAGCCAGAGATGGTCTATCATAGTTCAACTCATCATGGAGAAGTCTATTCTGTAATTCAGAAATCAATGACCTGTCAGGACGTGGCATGGACGGGAACTCCATCAAAGTTTTTCCATTTTTGCGCAACAACTTCTCTATCTCGACCAAAGTAAAACTCTTCAATTCATCATCCGATAGAATCAGCTCTGTCAAAAAAGAAATCGACAATTCTATTATATTGCATAAATGATTTATTATTAGTATTATTGAGTGGAATTAATTAATGTATGTGGTTGTAAAAATTAATATAATAAATCAAGAAAAAGTAGTAATATACTTACCATGAAACTATAGAAGTAATCTCTGTCTGTGCTGAATATCATCGCTCAGATACTTCCAAGTTTTTTCCCAAACCACGTGCGGCGTACACATTTGATTAGACACCATCAATATAGCAAAGAAGAATCTCATATACTCCCCAGTTCCCCAAAAGCTCGACTCTATGATTGCATCGATATATTCTTTATCATCACCTAACAATCCCAATGCATTACATGCATCCTTGAATGTGGGATACACAATGTTGTCAATTGTTCGTATTTCAACAAATGATTTTGGTCCCGTGACATGGTTCAGCAATGTACGCAAGTAGTATAATTCACCTGTTGCTGGAGGCACGAAATGCAATCTCCCAACCGTGTTCCCCCTTTTCCTATGAACCCATTCATGTCCAGGCTGCTTCCACACAAACTTCGAAGGGAACTGAGCATAGGTTAGACCTCTTGCGTCAGGGTATTTTGCATTTGCATCCATCCATGCAAGGAATTTTGTTTTCTTTTGCGCTTGTGCATCCAAAACCTCCTGAAGGGAATCACCTTCGTCAAATATAACATGTTGTTCATTCGGCAAGTGGAATGTTAGTCTCTCAACAGAAGGTTCTCTATAATTTATGTCAAAGGCAAAAAGTCTCCATGCAGCCTCACATGATGACAAATATCGACAATCATAATACAACTTTATTTCATCCACAGGTCCTGAATCAGCTTGATGGGGTGCAGCATCATAAAATCCTGTGGTGACGCGATCATGGCCCTTATTCACATATTTGAATAGATACTTGATGGAGCGGGACTGGTTACACCATTCTACATTTATATGAGCATTATATCTCATAAGAAGATGACGGTTGTAAGGGACGACGAAGCGATTGTCAATGACATGATCTCCCTTTTGTATAACACGGCCATTTTCCCTCCTCATGTATAATGGATAACCATCTTCATCGATACTCGTCCGCTCAGCATACTTTTTCGGAAAGTGTCTTGTGCATTTACCGTTCTGCATGCATGGTGCTTTCTTATTTTCTACCCCACACGGACCATGTACCATCAAAGATGATACTATCTTTAGCAATTCAGGGTCACTCTCTTCATCTGGTAGCTCAGCTGATATAATTTTATCAATATCATCTGGATGTGGATATCTATATTGTGGGTGCAAGAAAATTAATATGTGTGCGTGAGGCAACCCTCTCTTCTGGAACTCAATGGTGTATATTACTGCATGCAAAGAAAAAGTTGTCATTAAGTTAAATAATGTTTTTTTAATAAAACGTGTTAAATGTTCTAGGCATTTAACCCACCGTTTTTTGTGGTTCACCCACAGGAATAAAAATATGTCATTGAGTTAATTAATTTTGATTCAATTTTATCGATTAAAAACTATTCACTATACATACCTGCCCTGACTAATCCAAAAACTTTCCCTTCTTTGATCTCTTTAATCATTTCATCGAGTTTGATTTTGAAAACTCGACAAATCAAGTCAGGCCTGTCTTCAGATTTCAGTCCTTGGGTGCTCAAGTATCTGTAGAGTTCGGGCCAATTTTGGTTGCATGTGAATGTAATGAATAGATCAGGATAGCCCATCCAGCGACATATTGCCATAGCGTCTTGATAATTTTGAAACATGTATCGTGCACCACCCCTAAAAGATGATGGTAGCACAATGCGTTTACCCACAGCTGCCGGATTTGTGTCACCCCTTAAAATGGCCTCTTCGATTCCTTTATACATGTCCGCTCTCACTTCTCTCTGATGAGTTCTATAATAGTACAACCGAGATGATTCAATTGTACTATATACGTCCACTAACAACTGTTGAAACAGGCGTTTTGAAAACAAAAGGCATGCTCGTTCACTATCTCGATTTTGAAATCTGTAAGCGTAGAACTCCCTCATTGAAACATTGCGCCTCTTATTTGATCTTGCACTTTTTGTCTCGTATAATGGAATATCATCTGTATATCCTTGCTCCCCCCTTGAAAACAACAATGGATATTGTAATGGCAAATACGCTGAGCTCAAAACAGACACACGCTTCAGACTATTTGACTGTGTTTCCACTATAATATCTCTCTCACCACTGGATGCATCGAAATCCCCCACAATTAGAGCCGCTACTTCCGAGGCTGTAGGAAGATTATATGTTCTAGCATGATGTCCTCTTTGCCCTATCAGCCTCAACTTTAGAGGTGCGACTTCATTGTTCTGCACTCTATCACGAACCATTCGATAAGCTTTAGCGTAAGGATTGTACTGATCAAGCAATTGTTTTAGATCACTCACAATTGATCTTTGCACAGGAGATGAATCATCTTTCATCCTATGATCACAATAAAAAACAACATGTATAAGTGAACCATGTCACATCGTTTCAAATGTAGTGTTCATAAAATGAAATTATATTTGCATACATGGTTTGTGAAAAAAATCACTTACCCGACAACTTCCATCCGATTAGATATTTCATTATCTGTATCATATATGTATAGCTGTGCAAATTTGGGTTTCTCTCCGGGTAAAGGGAGCAAGCTTCCAATTCTATGATAGTTCTCACCATTCATGATAAACATGGGAGGCCCGTTGCCATCATTCTGAGAGACTTCAATTCTCCCACCAAGAGAAGTGAATGAAAACATCATATTGAAGGATCGAATATTTTGTAAGAAATATTTGCTTCGTGCATCCTTCTTATGGAATAAATCGCTCAGAGGTTGTGGTGGAGGCGTGAGATGAGGGATTCTTATTTTCCCTTGCATGCAGCATAATGAAAACTTCGGATTTTCTGATTTGCGTCGTTTCTCCACCCTCTCAGAGTACCACATTAAAGCATTACAGAATTCACACTTCCATATCGGGTCCCCAATATCAAAATATCCTAATTAAAAATAAATCAACAATTTAATGATCAACATAAATATTGAATAAGTAATATATTGTGACATATGCTTAAAAGTAATATGGTATGGTAATACCCTCATATGAAAGTATAGTATCGTCAGGCAGTGCATTATTTTCACCATCGTCACCGGCGATATGCTCGTTTGATGCATTTCCTACATTTGAGTGTCATATGTAAAATTAAATTTAAAGAGGAATTAAATAATATAGAATGATAATATAATTAAGGGTGAATGTTAGTGTAATCTTGGAGAAAGTTGTTTACCAATTTCAGCACCTTCATTGTGTATGGTAGACTGATTCGAGACCAAAGGGGCATGCACATTTGCATCAGAAGTGTGAACATCTGTGTGTATCACATGTTACTAATAATGAACGTTATTTGCAAAATATGAAAAAGTATCAGATATTACCGAGTTGTTCTTCGTTATTATTATTTTCATTATTATGATTCATAGCACATTGACCCGGAGTCACAACAGTTCCACTTCTGTAATCTCCTATTGAAAGAAAAAGTATACAATTCTCATTGCTAATTTATTTTTGACAATTAAAATGAGAATGAAATGTATTGACACCACATACTATTATAATGATTTTGCGCGGGCATAGTGAAAACCATGGTATGATTATCCTTCAATGCTATCGAACCACTGGACCTCGCAGTATTGCCATTAGTATTTCCTATATTTGAGTGTCATATGTAAAATTAATTTTAAATAAGAAATATATAATATAGAATAATAAGATAATTAAGGGTGACTGTTAGTGTAATCTTGGAGAACGTTGTTTACCAATTACGACACCTTCATTGTGTATGGTAGACTGATTCGAGACTAAAGCTTCATGCACATTTGCATCAGAAGTGTGAACATCTGTGTGTATCACGTGTTACTAATAATGAACGTTATTTGTAAAATAAGAAAAAGTATCAGATATTACCGAGTTCTTCTTCATTATTATCATGCGTTATTGAACCATTGGACCTCGCAGTAGTGGCATTAGAACCTTGACCTGCATCAAAGGAATTTACACCTATGATTTACGTTATGGAGAAATAATCTCCTAAGACGGTCCACTATGGAACCGCCTTCTGACCAATGCACAATTGGGGTTCTGTTCTCAAATCTTTATAAAAACTAACAAAAGTTCGTTGTACTATGCAATCACAATAACTATTGACATTAAATAAGAATTAATTTATATCATACCTCTCAAAAACAACTTCCCAACACCAAGCTTCACGATTTTCATACTATCCTTGGACACCAATGTTGAATTTGGGCCTTCTTGATTATTGGTAGTTTTTCTTAAGTGTTGACAATCAATGTCATTAGAATGTTGAGGCCCTTTTTTATGCCAAGTGATCCATGGAAATGTTATAAAATAAGTCGTGTAATCATTGATCATATTGATAATATATTTTTAAAATCGTAAAATAAAGTGTTATAATGCGAACCATTTGATATCTCACGGAGTGGAATTCTACAGGACATGATATCATTACTGAAAGGCGGAAGTGACCACGATGTAGTGTTGGTACTGTAATTATCTGAAAAGTGCATGTACATTCATAATAGTAGATGTAATAATAATAACATGGCACCAACAAAGGTAGAGTACTAATAATAATCACACACATATTTATACATACATACATATATATATATATATATATATATATATATATATATATATATATATATATACACACACACACACACACAAACACACACAGAGAGTATAATATTTGTTTTAGTTTTATGGGAAAACATACCTTTAGTAGTATTAGGGACATGAAATTTCCCCAGATGCAAATTTTCGTTGCCATGCTGATTTTCTTGTAGCACACGTCTTAAAAAGTGTCTTCCTGTTCCAAGTTTCTTCACTCCAGAATTAGTGTTGACCATTATAGACGAATCTTGCCTCTCATCTTGACTTAACCACCCTGGAATAGAACTTCGTCTTTGTTCTATACAATTTTCAAAATATAGGGAAGAATAGCTGGGTAGAGATTTCGAAATGCAATTGATTTGATTGAAATGTGATATGATATTATATAGTCAAGTTTCTAACATCAAGTTCAAAGATAAGTGCATGCATATAATTTCAGCCTCCATAAATCGTTATCATAAATAACATACCATTAGTTACATTTGCGACTTCATGGTAGAAGTTTTCACAGACATGATTAGGACTGCTCTGTGTTGTACCATTTAAGTAAAATATTCCAGAGCCAAGCTTTCTTATCTTTGCCGTACTCTCTTCCGTGTGAGGGAAAATACGCATTTCATTCCCATTCGTCAAACTCCGTTTTGGAGGACGATTTTTTTCCTTGTCTGCAACATCAAGTAAAGAGCAAGGACCAAATATAAACAAATATAAAGTAAATATCTGTTTATATTGCCATGACGGATATAATTCAATCATATGTCAAAAACCCAATGCCGATAAGATATTGTTTCTAAACCATTCAAAAAATGGAGAACATTCATGCACTAATGTAATTAATATCAAGGTTTGCATTGAGCTGAAATGGTTCTTAGCCAGTTAGCCTATCCAAAGTTTTTTTTTGTGCAATTCTTTTATTTGTTTTTAATTTTTTAATTTTTCGTCTCATTTTTATTGTTCGTTTGACCGTAGTGTTTGTTTTGTGCAGTCCATATATATATTACAAAGTATTACTACACATTTTATAGTTTCTTTGTCATTTTTGTATTTTTTGTTCTTCCAAGTATTAACAATTTAAGTACTCTGTATCTAACAATTTGGAGTCTGTTTGGTGACCCTTTTTTCGGCTTATTAGACTTGTCAGCCGTCATTTTCATTAGTCATGTAACGTTTGAGTTACTTTTCTATTTGTAATGACTGAAGTTACGGTAGAGGATCATATTAATAACAAATATTTTAAATATAATTTTTCCATTAATCAGCAGAAACAGGTAATACAACTACTTCAATCACAACTTCATAAATTTCATCAGAACAGTCAATTTAACCAATTTTAGTGTTATCAAATGGGCTTTTAATAGTACTATATAATATTATACTACGTAGTAATATATATATATATATATATATATATATATATATATATATATATATATATATATATATATATATATATATATATATATATATATGAAAAATACTAAGATTTTTAGGTGAAATGTGAAAAGGCCTAATAATTGAGTGCTCCAAACAAATAAAAAATACGGACTAAAAAAGAACAAAGAGTATTCTCTCTTCCGCTTTCGTGCTTCCTATTCTCCTTCCTCTTCCCCTTACACTCTCGATTCTCTCTTCCCCTTACACTCTCTCTCGATTCTCAAATACAAAAGGTTCAGCGCATGACTAATTCAAGATTGAAGATTTCAAGATTCATAATTCCAGGTTTTCTTTCTATTTCGTCAGATCTATTTAGTTCTACCTTTTTTCCTTTGTTGGATCTGGTTTAATATATCAGCGGGAAAGCGGATTTGGTTAACCATTCTATATCTTAAGATGAACAATTGAACAAACTCGTTCCTTTACTTCTCAATTTTTACTTTGTATTCTTGCCGGTCAAATTTTTGTACTTTCGACTATCTCAGCCTCAAGCATTTCTCTAAAGAAATAAAAATCTGATTTTTTTTACATGCATGAGTTGAAACCATTGCTTCTCTAAAGAAATAAAAACCTGATTTTTATTGTGTAATTACTTTATTGTTTAACGAATCAATAAAACATGACTTACCGCACATGTAGTCGCTCTCTGTGCGTGACTTCTGCTCAACTGGAAGGGAGAAGCAATGAATTGATTACAGAGCTTTTTTGAGTATTGCGATGTTTCAACTAATAAGTCTTTGTGTTATTCCTCTAATAGGTAAAATATGGTAATGATGGCTGGTTTCACGTATTTATAAGATTCTTGCTGTTAAATGAATGTTATTCACATATATGGCAATTTAAAATATCCTTTTTTTGAGATAGATGTAAAAGAAATATGACACAATTAACTAAAAGGATATTGCTTATTGTAATTAATCAAAGCTGGGATAAATCATGTCAAGCTGGATTTAAAAGTCCTGAACCACACAGTGACTTGAAAATAATATTTTTTTTACGGAGTATCCATTAACTGAATTCATATTTCATATAAATACTATTTTTTCAGATGTAAATAATTGAATTAATAATTTCAAATAGAGAATTAATTTGAAATGTCGGTTTTGCATAAGTTAGCAAAAGATAATTTATTGTGAATTTATGCTTTGTGCTTTGAGGATTCCATACTCTTTTCTATTTGAGATTGATTATTGTAATTGATTATTCAATTTTTTTGAAAAATTTGATATTCATTTGCAGGAAGATGTCAAGGTCTAATAGATGAGAGAAATTATGTGAAGAAAATTGAAGCAGGTTCGCTACAAAAGGCACATTTTATTCCTAATCTTTACATAAAAGTGTAAAGATTAGGAATAAAATAGGAAAGAGAAAAAGTTGAGAGAAATTATGTGAAGAAACTTGAAGCAGGTTCGCTACAAAAGGCACATTTTATTCCTAATCTTTACATAAAAGTGTAGTGCGTAGTATTTCATAAGCTCTCGTAACTTATTAACATTTCATTGCGGATAGAAGTCTCAAGACTGAAAAGAATGAAGTCATGCTAACTGAAGAATACTGAGTTCACTTTAGATGCAAACTATGAAATTATAAAAATAACTTGAAATGAAGCTGATAAAAGTGACCTGCAATTAAATTTTTTGATGTTTTTTTGTCTCAGATTAGTTATTGTAAGGTTCTTGTAATTCATTGGACTTTGTTTTCAGGGAGTGTTGAAGAATAGTGAAATAAATTAAACTCCTAGAAATATGTACTAAGGGCACTTTGAAATAAAGTATAGAGTTTGCTAAAAAAGGGTTTGTTTTAGTTTTCATTTCTACTTGAAAATAATTTTTTGTTTTATATAGTTAAATTCATAATAATACTTAGTGAACTCCAAGTGTAATGTAAAACACCGTAGTAAAACAGTGAGTACTCTTCAAGTAAAAGGCCCCAATAACATACGAATGATATCGACTGCAGTAATATAATAAAAATAAACTGACGTCATTTTTGTTGTCACAACAAAATGACGCAACTTATTCGAGTACTTAATGAAATTGCTGCCAAAATGGCAAAGAACAGAATAGTTCTAAAATACTTGAAGAAAACTACCAATTGAAATCCCAAAAATCTATATATGAAAGAAAAGTTTGCATAAATCCAAGCTGCTCTAATCACACACAGCTTCATTCAATGGGCTCCATTTTCACTTCAACAACCTTTCTCACTTTTGTGCTCGACGTCTGAGTCTCACTGCATTCCACAATATCACCTGACCTCTTTCCACTTGATGTGCTGGTTGGGGTAGTGGCCTCTACATTGACCAAGCAATTCTAGCACCAATTAAAATAAAGAGTTTTAGAAAAATACTAAAATAAATAAATAATGGTAAGTTATTTGGTTCGCATTTTTCAACGACACACTCTGTCATACATTAGTAGAATGGTGCATGTATGGGTTGCTTACATCGATGTTGGAGTCTACCTCTTCGACATCCTATGAACATTTTTAATTCCAAAATGTACATAAGTACTTTGTAAATATGTAATATATGTTACCAAAAAAATGTGCAAAGTACATTACCTTTTCATTGGCACCAAGCTCTTGAGAACCACAAACAGTGAGTTCTGCATCATCTCCCACAGAGTCCTAAGTTCCAGGATTTAAAAAAGAACTACATTTAGCATTTTGGTTTGCACATATAATAATAATAAGGTAATATAAGAATAATCTTACACACCTTCACCGGATTTAGCATTTGAAACTGAACTATTTTTTCCTCTTCCCCAATCATTTCCTTTATATTATAACTTCTCCACCCCTTTCCTATATTTCCATCTCCATTCTCTACCTTGAACAAAAACCTTTTACCAACTAATATCTTCAATTCCTCTGCTTGAGAACAGTCAACATTTTTCTGCACAAAGAATGTTTTTTAGAGTGAAGTTTCAGAAGGGATACAAAATAAATGAAATTTTAGAAAAACAAATACATGGGCTTTGCAATCTAAAGTACCTTGCGTATGGTAGTGAGCAAGTCGGTAGCAGATTTTCCTAAGATTCTAGTCATCACACGATCAAAAGCAGTAAATGTAGTGGATCCAGTTTGATCCATAACTTTAAATGTCACCTTAAACCTGAATGAAAGCACTAACCTTAAATTATCTTTCCCGATAGTAATTAAGAAAATATATAGAATGGGTAATACCTGGGAACCGCAGACCTCTCTCTTTCGCACCTTGGACCCTCACAGTAGAATTTACTGCCTAGAGGGTAACATTTCCTATAACAGGTGGTACATGACTGATATACCACCCACCGTCAGCTAACTCAATAATTGTTGCGAGAACAAATGGACAACAATTCTGCAAAATCAATAAACAACATCAAAAACTGTAGTTAAGCTATTCTCAACTATAAATGTTAACTTAAATGTACTATTTTCAATTTTTTCTTATTTTATTTACCTCTGTAGAATCTATCAAGTCAGAAATGGTCATGTGAGGGGTCTGCATTAGATCTTCCTTGAAAGTGCGTGGACCCTGATCTGACATGCTACTCACAACTGGACTAACTGAACGACCCTCAGATGCTAGCCTGTTACCCATAATAATGATTTTCGAAACAAATGTAAAAATTGTTTATTCATTTGTTTTGTATACCTGGGCTATGCTTTCATATCATATAAGAATGACTTTAAAATGCTTTAAGATTGTATTTTACTTCCATCACATTAGAAGTACAATTCTAAAGAATTCTCTAAAATTTCAAAAACTGTTTACACAGTAAATAATTCTAAAGAATTCTTTAAGTACAATCTTAAAGAATACTCTCAGAATTTAAAAACCGTTTACACTGCACTTTCATTTGACAAAGTGAAATCTGTAGAAAACTTCCATCCCATTTAGTTTTGCTTTTAAGAATTCTTTAAAAAGTCTTACATTTCAAAAAAGAAAACTTCCCTCCCATTAGAAGTACAATTTTATAGAATTCTGAAAGAATAGTCTCAAGAATTGACTTAAGGTCATAAAAAATGTTTACGATGCACTTTCTTTTGTAAATTAAGACAAACAAATCGCATAACAGTTAAAGTATATACTATATAGGTAAGTTTAAGTGATTATAAATGAAGGTCAACATGTTTCTTGCATGATGTACCTTTCAGTTTTCATATAAACTTATACAGATTTGTTTCCTACTTTAACATTCCATGCAGATATAAGGTGACATATTAACTTAAATCATTGAAGTAAAAGACAAACTTGTAAAAAGGTTACCTTTCTTTGTACTCTTGAATTTCCGAAAGAGGGGAGTTGATATATAACTTTGTTCCGTGATATGCATTGGTTAGTCCCATTATCCCTGTGAATATTATACCATAAAGATTTGTATCTACATAAAATAAAATTAATTACAAAAGTATGTAAATTAATTATAAAATTCTACCTTTATATATATTGGTCTGACAGAATTGTACGATTAAAAAGCATTCTCCTTGATTTTTGTCCAGATATTCCTTAATCTCTTCTGCCAACTTTGCCCACAATGAGCACTTCATTTGAGTGCCTCTGGAATAAAAAAAATTGTAAAATACTAAAAAAAAATATGTTTTATTATTAGGTCATTATACAACCTTTATAAATTATATATTATTAATCAAAACATAC